AAAAGACTACAGCAGTGTAAAAACTTCACTGTGCTTTTGTATTATGGAATGTCTTTAGGCCTCAGAAAATGCAAAACACATGGTGCAGTTAACTGTTTTGTTGCATGCTGTGTAGTAAATTCCTTACAAAACTCTTGAGAAAGCATCATGTCCCATTCCTGGTGCTGTGTGCGGGATGGGCACCGATGGCGGTGTGTCTCCAAAGCCTGGTAACAGGCGTAGGACAGGAATCAGGAGTTGGATGCTACACAGATGTCCATGTGATACTGATGTTAGATCTTCCAAAGCTGTAAGTGTAGGAACCCTCTGCTCTCTGCTAATAGTGATCTAGAAGGGGATTTTGAGAGTGCAGAGCTGCTTTGTTTTCCTTGTGTATTTCCGTAATTTGCTTTTCATAGCAGCTGAATGATGGAGGTAACTCATAGCCTTCTGTGGGCCTCCATGATTTGGTTCCATTTTTAGCAATAAACATAATGTAGTGCCCCCAGAACCAATGATTTAAATGTCTTAATCACCACTGGCATTAATTGGAAGAAAAAGTAGTCTGTATGTTTTAGGATGAGGAAGGAAAGATGAGGATCCAGAACATTGACAGTTCTGATTCTCCAGTATGAAGTTGGTAGAAGGTCACCACTTTAATCACAGGCTTACAACCACAGCAGTCTGCTAACATTTACAAGCTGGTGTGACACCACCCACATCAAAAGTTTCACCAGTGAACGGCAGAGGCATCTGTAGTGTTAGGTAAAACTTGGTATATTTGAAGAGAGAGGGCTTTACCAAGGTCAAATCCAAACACCAGTCATAGTGAACTGCTGTGATTTTTGTTTTCCAGTGTGAAGACCAAAACTTACTGTAAAAGGGCTGGTTCTGTAACGGTAATTTTGTCCCTCTTCCTTTTCCCCTTCAGGTTAATGCAGTCATCTGTGGAATCAGTTTGGAATATGGCATTTGACTTCATTCTTGACAATGTTCAGGTAGTTTTACAACAAACTTACGGAAGCACATTAAAAGTTATCTGAACTTGTAGTAAAGAGCTTGATGAGAGCCTGGAGCTCTCTGCTAGCTGTGCCATAAGTGCTTGTGAGGTATTTGCAAAGTGCATGATAGTAATACCCTGAGTTTTTATAATTTCAAATTTCTTTTTAAACAACAAAGTGTTTTGTACATTTCTTTTCAGAAAGTGCCAAATTTGTCAGTATTGCATGTAAATAATTGTGTTAAAATTCTTTTATTGTAGTATAGAATCTATTTACAAAATGTTTGTTTATAAAGTTTTATGGATTTTTACAGTGAAGTGTTTACAGTTGTTTAATAAAGAACTGTATGTATATTTTTGTACTGATTCTATTTTGTGATGCTTCAGTTTGAATATAGCTAACCCCTTTTATTAAAGCCGCACCTTTGATTCATTTCACAAAGTTGTACACAGTGACACTGCCTCAGCACGCATAGGAGGCTACTTTTTGTTCCTTCTCCACTGACTTTGCAGATTTTAAGTCAAGGAAAGAATACTAGCTTGTTCTCAGTTTCAGCCTTCAAAGCCAGAAGCCAGTGTGACCCGGCTGCTCCCAAAGCAGGCACAGTGTTAGCTGAAGCGTCAGTGCTCTCCGAGCTCTGTGTATCCGGGTGCGCTGTCGCCTCCGGGGATGTGTGCTCGGGGAGGAAAACAAAGGGAGATCTTGAAACGGTTGCCCCACAGCAGCAATGGGAAGGAGCAGGGAGTAGCTAAGGAGGAGCACTGTTTAAGCCTGTATCAGTCCTTCTGCATCACTCCTCCTCAGGATAGAGCCACTCAATATACTACAGTCCTCCCCAGCCTGACATGCATTTCCTTTAGGCAACGTAACAAAATAGGTTAGAGTGAGTAGCAGAAGTGAAAGAAATAGCCGCAGCGCTTTGTGCCCATGGAAGGGACGGGTATGCTTGCAACTCTACAGTTTACGTTTGGGGCAAGCCTCCTTTTTCCAGATGCACGCCAGCCTCATGTTGTTGTATTTGGCTCAGCATGTTGAAGCAAGGCTGTTTAGGTGCATGGAAAGAATGAAGACCACTTGCAGAAAATCCAGGTGATTGATAAGAAAAATCATTTCTTTCTGAAGAAATTACGGGCGGGGGGAAGGTGGGGGGGGGGGAGAGCAGAAGTACCACACAGTATCCTGGGTGGGTGTAGGCCCACCTGACTGACTTGGAAGCTGGAGTACAAACTGCAGCTAGCCTTGGAGGGGGTTTTGCACCACCAGCTTGGCTGGAAGCATCTCCACTGGCCCAGGGAGTGCACCTGGATCAGTTGCAGCTACCGGCACAGCTCAAGCAGGGAGTGCTCTGCAGGGCATCACTTCACGGGCTGCAGCACAGGTTAGAGCAGTGATGGTGCTTTTTAGCTTTAGGTCCCTTGCATCACACGCTGGGAGAGGTACCAACCTGGCAGCCTTCTACAGCCAGGTGAGGGAGGGGCAGTAGTTGCTTCCCTTGACTTCAGTAAGGCTTTTCATCATATCTCCTGCACCATTCTCGTAGGCAAGCTGATGAAGTGCAGGCTGGGGAACCGTGTGGATTGAAAACTACCTGGGCAGGCAGGCCCTGGGCATGACAGGGCGTGGCACAAAGTCCTGGTAGAGGCCAGTCCCCCCAGTGCTGCAACCCCCCTGTCAGTACCAGTTCCAGTCCTGTTCAACCTCTTCATGGATGTGTTGGAGAATGGGGCAGAGCACCCCCAGCCTGTTGGCTGATGACACAAAACTGGCTGAGAGCAGAGAGCTGTGCTACATCTTGTGACCAACCAGCTGCTGGGAACCTGGTGAAGCTCAGAAAAGAGAAGTGCAAAGTTCTGCCCCCAGGGAGGGACAGCCTGGGCCCCTGGGGGACAGTGGGCCAAAAAGCAGCTCTGCAGGAAAGGCCCTGGGGGGTTGCTTAAGGCAGCTCCCAGGCTGCAGGAGGAAAAACAGCACCAGCAGGACAAGGGAGGAGATGGATTATGCCCCTCTGCTCAGCACTGGTGAGACACAGCTTGAGGGCTGGGTCCAGTTCTGGGCTCCCCAGCATAAGAGGGACAGGAACATGCAGAGCAACTCCAACCCAGGGCCACAGTTGTTTGAGGGAGTGGAGCTTTTCTGGTAATACCAGGGGAGGCTGAGAGGGGTGGGACTGTTCAGCCTGGAGTAGAGAGGCTGGGCAGAGCTCACCTGGGTGTGGAAACACCTGCTGCAGGAATAAGGAAGACAGAGGAGTGTCTGGCTCTGTGTTACCAAGTGAAAGGGCATGAGACAGTGGGCATGAACTGGTACAAAATTTTCCTTTTAAACAGCACATACACACACCACCCTCCCCACCACACACACACCCCCACCAGGCTGGCCACAGGAGTTGTGGATCCTCCAGCACTAGAGATGCTCAGAAGCCAACTGGCCCCAGCCCTGAGCACGGGGCTGAGGACACCCCCTCCAGCCTTACCCAGCCTGGGCCAATACTGATTGTTCAGGCTCAGGTGAGCTTGTTAGGTATTGTCCTGACGCCTAGGTGTACAGAGGTATCTACAGGGAGAGAGCTGAGCTGAATAAAGGTGTCCAGGCTTCTACTAGTTCCTAGTTGGGCTCTTTCAGAGCTCCTTGAGTCACTGCTTTTTCCTTTTTTCCCCAATTAAGTTTCGGGCCCACTGCTGTGGTTTTCTGAGTACTATTCAAGACATACTTAAAACTAGCATCTTAAAAAAAAAAAAAAGGACTCAAAGCATTACTTAACCAAGTAAGATTATTTGTAATTATATTTGAATTCTCCCTTAGTGATAACTGCTTCAAGCCCTTAAATATTATATTCAACAGTTACCTCCTTCCGTAAAGCCTTTTGGTGAAGGTATTTTACAAGTTTCACAACAGCAACCTGCAGTTTTTACCTGTGGGAATAACACCGTTCCACAGTCAAGGAAACAATCAAGAATACATGAAGACCACAATGTTTGACATCTGGGTTCTTAAGAACTTTTTTTATTAGTGTAGTTTTCATGATTGCATAGTTTGCAAAAGAAAATTATAACAATTGAATGCAGTCTCCTCACTGTGATCATTCTATTCTAACCACCAACACGCCCAGTGCTGTGAATTTGCACCACAAACCATACTGAAAAGGTCGTTTTCAATAGCAAGTTTGTAGTCTAACAAACCAAAAAAATTCTGTTAAGTTCAATTCCATTGCTGAAGGAAGAAAGTTATTAAATGTTCCTTTGTAATGGAGCCCACACAATCCCAACCACAAGATTCAGATTTTTCCAACAAAAGAAGTAATCTGACAGAAGAAATCTGATCAAACAGCTTATTGCAAGTTAAAATTCTTGTAACTGTTTTTAAATGCTAGAAATCTCAGCTACATGAAAGATCATTATCGATATTGTTTCAGTTTGTGCTTTTGAAAAGTGTTTGTCCAGCCCCTCTCAAACATGAGTCGCAAGTTACCAGGAGCCTACCTGATCAGGGGTACAGCAAGCTGCCACCCTAAGCAGGGAGCCCCAGGGGAAGGGGAGGAAGAGGCTGCAGTGACGGACTGCCTGCAGGCCACTGCCAACGTCAGCAGCCAAAGGGCCTTTGGAGCCGGTCCATTCCCCCGGTGCCAGAAGACTCGACAGGTTTGATGCAGGATCCAAAGTCACGGCTCGCATGCCGACAAGCATTCTGCAGGTGCTTACCCCAGCTCTGAACAGCAGCTGGAGAAGAGATGCCACCTCTCAACTCCTCCCAGCAGAGCCTCTCCAGGGCCGGGGACTTGCGAAACACCCGGCCTGCAGCTCTGGTGCTTGGGGAAGACTGCACGAGCCGCCACAAGCACCAGGCACAGCGAGCGCTCCGCGAGGGGAGGCGAAGCCGGAGGAAGAAAGGCCTGTGCTGGAAGGGCCCTCCATGACTTTGCCAAGCCCAGAGCAGCCAGCCTCCGCATGGCATCGCCACATCTGCCACAGCCCAGGAACGGCACCTGGGTTTATTGAAGCAAACTGTAAAACAAACGGACCATTATGTTCATCTCCTTTATTTGCGGCTCTGCGTTATAATGATTACAGGTCGAATTTCATGAACTGTACAAACAGTAAAAGGCGGCCAACTATGCTTTACATCATTGTTTCACACAAAGCAAATACAGAAGTATCCAATTGCCTAATTGTCTATTTAAAAAAATGGCTATAGGCACAAAGCAGAAGAATGTTGGAAAAGAGAGTCAAGGGAAGAGGTATACATAAATAAAGAAGTACTTCTTACATCAAAAATGTCCCAAGAATCACAAAGTCTGCAGAAGCTTGGTTAATCAAATACTGCAGTACTGATCTCATCAGTATAAAAGTGAAAGAGCTTTAGTTCTGTAATAAAAATTCAATTTCTTTTATTTTATTTCGGAGAGAGGGAGGGAAAGAGGGCTGAAGGAAGGTGTAAGAGAAGGAAGGGCAAACTTTAAAACAGCAGCCAGTATTAGGAAGGGCAGTGGGAGGGGTGAACAGGCACATTGGAACCATGGGAACATGTAAATTGACCACTGTCAAACCAGTGTAAATTTCTTGGTTTCTCATGGAAAACATTTTATCCACATATTTTCCTCCCAAACATATATCCAACACTGTCTTCAATATATGACTTTGTTGGTAACTTCTAGAACAGGAATAGTGCACGTATTCCTGCCTCCTCATTGCTGTAAAAAGTTATCTAGATGATTTCAAACACTTTCTTCAGCTCTACTATAAGCTGCCAGTCAGACTTCTGCATTTCATCCCTGAACCAGTCCTTCAGAGCGTCGATGGACTGACGGCTGATCTGTAACACACAAGACAAACCCATCAGCACCACACTGATGCATGTTAATAAAGGCAGCTTTTCATGCCTCGGAAGCAATTAATCTGAGGAAAGGGCATCAGCCCACGCAGTGGGAAAGATCCTTCTAATCCCAGCTCTGCTACTGATCTGCTGCCTGACCCGTCCCACTCATTTCCATTTTCTCCTCGCGTCCCTCACCGGGGCCGCAGAGACAGCAGCGCCCACCACCTCCCGCAGCACCAGCACAGCCTCCCTGCCCCACGGCTACGCGCCCCCCGCGTGGGGATGTGTGCCCCAGCACATGTGTGGCAGAGGGTATCTCACAACACAGTGACTGAAGCGGTCAGGAGGGGGGGGAAGCGCTGTGGCTTTGCTTCCAACAGCAGAAAACCAAGCTAGGGATCATCTCAGCTAAGCCCAGTGTTCCAGAATCGGGGCAACTGAAGCATTGCTATTTATTGCACGATTCCAGAACCAGGCAAACACAATCCTGCTGTAACGCCACGGGAGACCGCTAAGCCGCTCAGAGCACCAGCTACGTACAACGGTACGCAAATAGCTAATTTAGCATTTTACCCTCTCAGGTACAGTAAAGCTGCAAGGTATTTTTAGCTCCAGTACATCATTCCTTCAGTCCTCTTGAGGGGCACTACTACGAACCCTCACAACAAAGCTACAGACAAACTTGGCTGAACTATGCCACACACGAACCACTTCGAGGGTCTGTTAGTCTCTGGTGGAAGGTTCCTCATGTGTGTTTCTCAGGCTTCATGCAACATTTCCACTTCAAGCAGGCTACCACTATGTCATAAGCCCTCTCCAAAAAGGCAGATTGCTTTTACCTTGCTGACGAGGATATCTGTTGCTTCAAAATGTCGTCCGTACATTTTAGGTGATTCACCGGGAATAGGCTCTATTTTAACACATACTTCTTGGCCTTTTTTTGCCACCTCCACTGGTTTATGGTTTATTTCAATACTTGTAACTATTCCAATTTCAACAAACTGTAACACAATGAAGAAGCTGTAACACACACCCACACCACCTCTGTCCACACACTCTTCTCTCAATTCCTGGTTCGAGATACCGACTTGCCCGTGTGCAGCACTGCACTCACCGGAGCAGCCACCTCAGAACGGGCAAGACATCCTGCACTGTAATCACACCGTATCAAAATGGGCATCCACAGTCCCTCTGGGATATCAACTTGTTATCCCTTAAAAACACCAGGAGTTCGCTTCCCCCCACCTTAAAAGCTACAGGGAATGACCGTTTTACTCATTACTTTATCTCACAGCACAGGAATCCCAGCAGGGGGAAGGAGGGTGGCTGACAGATCTCCGCAGCCACGCGTGCTGGCCAGGCCCCACAGCAGTCGGGAAGCTGCACCCCATTACAGGACTCAACCCCCTCGTAGCGGAGAACAGCGAGCTGGCTGATCACCAGGGAAGAGGCTTGATCTAAATGTCTGACCCCCTCCTCCTACCAAACCCCTGCACGCCGGGGAAAGGTGAGCAAGCTGCTCCCGACGCATCGGCCCTGGCACCACCAGGTCGATCAAACGTCCCCTGGGAAGAGGCGCTTACTTACATTTTTGCTAGGTACGCACATAGGGGTCCCCTGCTTCACCTGGCCGGCCTCTACAACTACACCCATCACTATTGGGTCACGGGAGTTGAAAATGAACTGAGGGAGTATTTTCATCTTGCAAGGAAATACTGCTATATGCCTGGAAGATGACCGAAAAAAGGCATTTTGAAGCAGATACTGGCAGAGCGTACGCAACATCAACAGTTCTGCCTTCTCCCACACTTCTCGGGCATTTATTCTAGGAGTGTGACTTGGGGAGAAGTCAAGCAGGAAAACATTCTCCTCTAATCTTGCTAATTCTAGTCACTACTTGAGCTTCAAGAACTATAGGGAACAATAATCAAGCATGGTTGGCCTGGATTTTATTTTGACTGGCTTGGGCAGTCAACTAAGACCAAGACCAAAGGAAGAATAATTTTACAGTATAATTACAGTCTCAGAAGAGCATAGGAATAGAAATATTACTGCCTCAACACATCACAGGGACTCCACAAATTCAAGATTCTTGTTTGCAAAGTGAACAAATACAGTTAAATGCTGAGGTATACGAACTCAAATTGGGATCAATATGAAATGAAATACATTCATTTATTTTTGTCTGTCCTTACTTTACTGAGGATTAAACCAGTGGCATAGCTTTCAAAAATTAATTTTGGGTCCCTATAAATTCTTAAATGATTGCATATTCATGTTACTGCAGTCAGAGTTAAGCCCTGCACACTGGAATTGCATAAATATGAAACAAGAGACTCCAAATCCCTTTAGTTTTGTTTCCTGAACTCTGCAAGTCTAACCCATCTGTCACAAACGAGGAACAGAAGCCAAGTATACAAAGCAAACATTAGTAAGAACGCTCCATATTACATGACAGTTTTAGCTAAATCTTGTAACTGCTTCACAACTCTCACCCTACTAAGCCTCATTCCAGATGCAAACAATTACACTGGAGTTATTGCCCTATCCTCCTCCTCCTTTCCTTCCTTCCCATCCGAACTACAAACTAAATAATAATAATATGGAAACAAGAAGTTAAATGCAATTTCATTTATAATAAAACAATTAATAGACACTTATTTGGGAAGCAGCCAGAATAAGATTGCTCTTACTTGAATTCCTCTTGCTTCTGTTTTTTGTAGTCTTGTCTATATTTTGTGAAGGCATCAAATAAGTGATAAATTATTTCAGCACTAAAAATTCGAACTCCTAAACTGTCAGCCATTTCCTGTGCATCACGTTCAATCCTCACATCAAATGCAAGAATGACTGCGTACCTGTAAGTAAAAACAAGTCAAACAACTTTACTAGACAGACCACAGAACCAGAGCAAAGGAGAGGCCCTTCCTGAAACACCGCCGCACGTTTATCAACTTAGTAAAGCAAAGAAGTTACTTACTGTGGGTCATGCTCCAACATAACTGATGCCTTCATAACGTCTTTTTTATGGACAGGACCTATATTAATTCCTGAATACTGTTGAAAGGGAAAGCCACATCAATCAGTCACTAATCTTTGAGTTGAAAGGAAAAACAGTTACTAACGAAAATACAGAAACAACAATATCGGAATCAGCACAGAAGTACTTACTGGCACTTCTGATGTTTTAAGAAATTCAAGTAATGCTTCTAAAGAGCCTAAAGTAGAAGCCTGGACATAAACACCTTTCTCTTCTAATTTGATTGCATTCAGTGTTTGCTTCAGTTCATGTATTAGTTCATCCTTTAGAAAAGAAAATAAGAAAAAAAAAAAAAAAAAAAGAGAGAAAAAGGCAAGTTTTAGTTCTATTGCTATTTATGCCTCAGGGTACAAAGTCCTTCTGTTCATAAGCTGCTGAAGTTATGCAACAGTCCTACTGACAGGTACCAACTTACAGACTTGCAGTGTAGGCCACACACAGCCCTGGGACACACTGCTGCTTGCTTCTGGCATTAGAAAAGTCTGAACTGAACCAGACTTGGAGGATTTTGCAAGAAGGTGATCATGTAACAGAAAGCAGATGCCCATCTTGGGACTTCATAACATTTCTCTGCAGACTACACATCACTCTGCCCAGCACTGGAAGTTTCTGCTGGCAAGACGGAGCGAACACCCACCCGGCAGTGTGTGGCAATACCTTCAGCTGCCTAACCGAGGACCAACAGTAAGAGCAGCAGACACTCCTAAAACCGTGAGCTGGGAAAGGATTCTGAATGCTCTTTAGGCCTAGGTACAAAACAGGATACAAGAGCAGCAAGGCCATTTTTCTGCTTTCTGAGAAGTCGAGCCACTTTTTAAGAGCCCATGCCATTTAAACCCAAACACTCAGTCTTTTCCTCTGACAGATGAATGAGTGTTGTCATTTACTTGAAGCCCTCATGCATCTACTACCAGTACACTTTGCCTACGTACTCATATGTACCCAGCAATAAAGTCTGTACTTGGAGGACCTGAAGGATTTACCTGCCTTTAGAGGCAAGAATAAATAGAGAGTAGGCCAAATAAAACTATGATTAAAAGTAAACTATCAACATGTGAGTTTCCCTTTTAAACTAACTTCCCAACTTTGGAGAACAGGAACATCTCAGCTGAATTTTGTTTTTTAAGATAGCTACATTCCTTCCTCCACAATTTTTAAAGTGTAAGTCATAAAAGACATTTACTACAGAAGCCTTAATTCAGCTTTGCAATTCTGACAGTTTGAAGAACTCCACTAGCAGATAGTTGCCTAATATAATTGAAATGTATGCATAATTACTGATTTGGTATTTGTAGTAATTTAACATGTAGTCAAACTATGCTATGATACTGGTTTTCAAATCTTACTCTACCAGCAGAGACACCCCAGCAAAATATCAGGGAAAAACTAAAGGTCAAGATATCTAAAACATCACCACACTAATGCTTCACAGAGACACGAGGCTACAGTATGTTATTGTAACAGTTTTTAAAACACAACCAAAAAAAAGCAAGTTGCTTGTGTACTGAACTCTTGCCATTTAAATGAGTTTCATCACCAGAGATCTCAGTTACCCTCAGTTTAAGTGCCTTATTTCAGCATTAGCCATCTCACCTTGAGGACTGGGACTTCATCCTCTTTATAAGCTACAAGCAATGGCAAACCAGCCAATGTTTTTTCCAAATCTTTCCCAAGAATCTTCACACCTTGAGCAGCGACGACTTCTTTGTGCTTTTCATACTGGTTCTGAAAAGGAGAATACACACTAGCAAAGAGTTCGCATAGCTACTATACAGCAACACAAAGTAGTGCTGAGCAGCTAAAGAACTTGCCACCAGCAAGCACAGCAGAGACCATGGCAGTGAAGTCCAGCAGCTCTCATCTTTCACCAGTGGTTTTCTCCACTTTGCACGCTCCTCTCCTTCTAGATACCCCCCACCCCATTCCTGCCGAGGAGGGCAGGACAGGGGGAATCATCTAAACATAAAAGGAGGCCAAAAGGCAATATATACTAGAAAAGAACGAGCAGTGATAGGCAGCTGCTCAGTAAAAAAAAAAAAAGGAAAAACAAACCAAAAACAAAACAGAAATTCAGCCCCATAGGAAAGTAAGGGGAAGATGCCAACAGCTCAACAAAAGCGCTAAAGCTCAGCTGATGCAACCCCAGGCTCTGTGCGGGAAGGGCTGTCTCATTCTCCCACTGGAGGCCTCTCCCCATCCAGCCTTCCCGTGTACACAGTTCCATGCCTGGTTTCCCAGGTGCTCCTCCCCACCCAAGGGAACCTGGAAGATCTCTCCCCACTCAGGGCATGGCTCCAAGTCATCACAGAAGTAGCTATTTCCTGCAGACCTTTAAATCAACACTGGAGGGATCTTCTGGTTTGTTTCTTCATTTCTTTTGTTTAGATGTCCCATCCTTCCCTTGCAACTGCAAGGCAGCTTCCTTCCTCAGTAAGCACTTTGTTCCTGCAAGTCTCTATTCTTTAGCCCTCCACCCCAAAATGTGGGTCTTATTTCAAGGATAATTCCCCATGGATAGGCTCTAATTGAGATGTCTCCTCATTGCCTGCTTCAAAAAAAAAAGCCAGCTCCCCTAGATCTGCTTCCCCAGCTAAAAGTTCCCAAATCCAGTGTTGTTCATGGTGGTGCTGGTACCCTACACCCCATCTCCCATCAAAGTGCAGAAACTCATCTGAAGACTATGCTGTCAGCAACCTGTGATGTTACGTTGCTATTCAGTCCCACAAAACAAATTTCAGTTTCCTAACAGTTCCACACACCGGTTTATCTTCTGCTTTAAATAAAGGGAAGCAAATAGATGGGAATGCTTTCAATTCATTCCTCACAGTACCAGAATATATTCAACAGCTTCCAAAGCAGCAGAGAACATAACCTAAGCATAAACGTCAATTTTCCTTTTGCCATTCTCTAGTCTTTATCAAGTTATTACGGTAAAGCTGCGCTCCAGATTGGGAAGCCTGACTTAGATTCTCCAAGGTGACTGTCCTGTCCCACCGCTGATCAGGCTGCCGTCCACACAAGTGGAAAGAGTGGCTCTTCCCATTTAGAGCAGGCCAAGAAGCTCTTGCTCAGATTCCACCTCAAGGTCAACAGCACATCCCTCAGCACCTCTGAGGCCACAGCAGTCTCACAACAGAGGATCACCATGGCAGGGGAGCCACCCTCAGCCCTGGCCCCAGCAATTATTAGTACTACTTTACAAGAGCATTAAGTTTGCAGGAAGAATTAAACACTAAGGGCTACAGGAGCCTGCAGGGACACAGTTCTCCAGTGAAATGAAGCACACCACAATTGCTGTAGCCTTAAATGAGGACCCTGATACTAGTTTTCCACCTCTAAACCAAACCTTTAAAGCCTGTCCTGTTACATTCACCTAGGTTATCTGTACGGTTTTCTTTCCCTTAAGCAAAATCTGTGCAGACACTGACTCCTCCCCTTCTAAACAGGAAAAATCAGAGCAGCTCTTCTCATCATCTCTGAACTGTAGGTATGAATATTAATGTATGTATTAATAGCCTTTAATTTCTGTGGCTCTCCCCCTCCTTTCATGGAAAACAATACAGGCAGGATCTCAAATTTTGTGTCTCTCCCCAGTCTATTAAGACTGGTGCAGCAAAACCTCCAACAACTCAAAAATGACAAAAGGCTGCAGATTCTGCAGAGGTCCCAGTCATTGCTACTCACCAACCACTCCTAGAAACTTACTTGTTTCACTTTTCTCAAATCTAAGTGTAAATGATTTTTGTTATTAAAAAAAACACTTTTACTAATAGTATAATAGTATATACTTTTAACTCAGAAGTCACTGTATTAGTACACTCCAATTCCTATTTCAGATGGTTATTTCCCTCTCACATGCTTGAATCCCTTACTAAAGCATACACATTTTAGTCCTCACTGCAAGGCAACTCCTTGATCCTTTTCTTCACCACTGTTATAACAGACACACCGACAGGTATTACAAACACATTCACAAAAACACGAGATGTGCGCTGTCTTCTCCTTTAAGTCATCCTTAGATACTGTTAATATAACTGCAGTCTACTACATTCTCGCTTTTTATAAAATTTCCTTTTTTTTTTTTTTTTTCTTTTCATGGTTCTAAATCTTCTCTAAATGTCACCACGCTAACCAGTTTCCATACCTTAACTCGTAGCTCCTTCATAGGAGGAGGCAGCAGAAGACCTCTAATTTGAGTTACTATGGGACCTTCTACTCCAGGAACAATAATGGTGTCTCCTTCCTTCAGGCGTCCGTTAATCAAAATAACATCTATGGTAGTGCCCATGCCTGGCAGTGCTTTAACCTGAATGAAAGGGGAGAAAGTTACTCCCTATTTAAGCACTTCAAACATGAAGAAGGGGGCAGGGAAGGGAGAAATTTCTAGATGAATTTTAAAGAATAGCTGCTGAATTACCTCCATGACTTGAGCTCTCAGCTCCTGACACTCAGCCAGTCTCTTGGTCAGCATAGTTTGCGTTAGCTCAACAAGAAGAGCTATCAGACTTCCCATGCCATCCCCTGTGTGAGCAGAGGTAGGTACAAGAGAAACAAAAGTGCGGGGATCCTTATTTTCATAAAACAAGGCAGCGTTCAAGCCCTGGAATCAGGATTAATAGTTATATAGGGAAAAAAACATATATGCACATCAGCATTAACAGTAACATTCGACCCCAGTAAATTACTATTGTATTTTTCAACTACCAATTTTAAAACAGCCTTGTTACTGACTGTATGCTATGGAGCACCAAGCCTCAACCCACACTCAGAAGCAGTATGGGATAACTCTACGAGGCTAATTACCACATCTAGCTTCTAGACAGCATTGTATGTCACCAACAGAAGATCCTAGAACTGATGTGATTCATGCGCTGCCAGCGTCCAAGGGAACAAAACAGCTGGGATTCTCTCAGCCAATTCCCAAAGAGAGAAAGAACAGGGACAAAAAACAATCTGCTACTCGTGACTCCACTGACCACACACAAGTAGCTGCTATTTTTCTCCAAACTAGCACTCTTAAGGCTAAAAAAAGATCAATTTAACAACAACAAAGTTTGGTTTATCAGAGGTAAACATCAACATGTCAGAAGAGATGCTACAGTTTTCTTGATATTTCAAGTTGTTTTGAGAAAACAAAAAAAAAAAAAGACACAAGCCCAAAACAAAACCACACAACCCACTGACCACCTTTACTATCACTTTTGTTAACCAAAACACTTTTAATATTGCAGCCTACCTGTTTGGCAAATTCCACTATAATAGCCTTTGCACGTTCTTCAAACTCATCTTTTGTGTTCTTTTTCTGCTTCTTTAAGGTGACAGCTACATCTGTATCTGGACTTTTTTTCCAGTCATATAACCTATCAATCTTGAAAAATATAGTAATATGTCATCTTATGCAGCTTAAAGGGCATCTTTATGCTTATGCCACATCATCTGTGAGAAATACTTTACTAGCCAACATAGCTATTTATTTGCTCCAGTAATCAAATTAAATCTTTTTATTTGCTTTAGCTGCTATATTTATCTCTGTTTATGTATCTACCCAATGTCAGCTAGTATTTCATGATAGCAATGCTACTTCAGGTTTTAAAAATTCAAGCTATAACGAGCTAGGTTCATATGGGGAAAGTTTGTATACATTCGTTATCTGAAATTTAAGGTAAAACATTTGGAAGAGACTGACCCACATATAGCTTCACACACACAAAAAAAACCCTCACAAAACAAAATATGAAGGGCTGGTTTTTGTTAGGTTTTTTTGTTGTTTGGTTGGTTTTGTTTTTGTTTTGTTTTTTTTTCCTGAAAATAGACTGTATTAGTTTTACAAAGAACTTTTTAAACTTACTGGTCAATTTGGGCCCTTTCCCATGTTGCTATAGAAGGCATCACAGAGCAAGTGTTCAAAAGACAACTGCATACTTCAGAAATACTTCCCTAAGCAAGTTTTCAAAGCAGGATAGACTTAGTCTAATAAACTATTACACTTGCTGTACAAATCAAAACTACCATCTTTAGAAAATGGATTACATTCTGGTCAAATGACAGAACTACAACATGAAAGGCAAGAACTTTTGGATATTTAATCTCAGGCTCGCTGTAGGCCTCAACACCTCTCCATCCAATAGTTTTGTTTTGTTTTTTTTTTTTAAAAGCAGCTGTTTTCAGCAATGTGATAATGGCCTCCTCAATTCCAAACACCTTCAATCTTATTGATCATTTTATTTTTTAAAGTATACTGAAATTTTTACATTGCACATGAATATCCTTCTTTAAGTTCCCTGTCAGCATGACAAATAGCATCCAAAGTGATTGGACACAAGTAATTTCCTTATTATAATTCATTCAAGTCATCACAAACAGCCAGCACAATTTCTCAAGCACAGGAATTCTAAAAACATGGCTGAAAATAACTGGCTCTACCATCTAATACTGCATAACATGAAATACTTCCTATCAGTGATCAACATTACTGTTGCAGGAGCTTAAAAGCCAGCTTGCCTTCAAGCCAAACCAACAAGTATCAGTAGCTAAAATAAAGTAAGACTTTTCAACACAAAGCTTGTCTTTCATCAGAAAATGCACACAAATCCATGTAAGTAGGTGCAAGGAAAAAAAAAAAAAAAAACACAACACAACTGAAGTACAACTTCCAGAAGTGTGAACCATATACAGAAGTTACATAAGGTAAAGAAACTTATCAGTAGGGACTCTGAGAAGAACAGATCGATTATTCTGCAAAGCTCCTGTAAAGACATTGGGGTATCAAGGACACGAAAAATGCAACAGAGGATTTAAGAACCACTGCTTTAGACTTTACACAATTCAAGTTCATGGAAGAAAACAGAAAATTGTCAGATGCTAAATACACTGTTAGAGTAGGAAAACACACTGTTGGAATAAAAAGCTATCTTACCTTGTTGAGAGCTACAATAAAGGGGCATTTCTTTGATTTCAACAGATTTATTGATTCAATTGTCTGTGGCTCCAAACCATGCATGATGTCAACTACAAGTATAGCAATATCACAAAGTGAGCTTCCTCTATTTCTTAGATTGCTGTGGCATTGAGGGGAAAAAAAATTTTAAAAAAAGTCATGTAGCAACATAACTTTAATAAAAACACCAAATACAATGTCAAACTTAATGACCAACAAAAATATAAAGCTGATCAAGTAGTTATTTTTCCCTCAAAAACGTAAGCTATATCAAAAAAAAATTCTAATCACACTGTGTAAATTCCACTTAACAGAATATATTAGAGTATGTATAAGCAAAAAAGAAGAAACTATTATTCTCCCAAGAGTTTTCCTATTACTATCTGTTTTTACAAGTTAAGACATGTGCTGATTTTTTCTGAGTGAGAATTGAGATAGTTACAGTGAAATACAGGAGCGCAGAATCTGAACAAGATGATCTACTATATAATATTATACAAACACTAAGAATGTCGGACATCCTTGGTGCCAATCAAAACCTGGCTAGAAAATGAAGAGCTGTACGTGATATGATGCCAAGGAACTGATCAGAACACTACCAAGTATCCTAAGACATGTCATTTCGATGTTTGCAAGAGATTTGTGTTTAAGAATGTCACAAAGACTTAATCCTTCTGTTTGGAGATTTCACCCAAGCATTACCTTAGTGAGTAGTTTTATATATCATGTTTTAAAATTAAAAGTTGATTTAGTGGCTTGCCTGCATGCCGCTGGTGTTCCTAGACAGCATATGATCCAGGGATCCTAAGACTCAGCTGATTTCCAGTTTTATGAACTCAGTTACCTTAACTGGGACACTATCAACTCGTAGTTGGAATAGAAGTTCTAATTTTTCAGAGCACAGTATTTCGGTCACCTGAAATCCTCACCTTTGCTTCTCCAGCTAGTTTCCTGCTTCCGTCTTTCCTCTTACACTATTAAAAGTTATTTACATGCTTTTTCAGATATTCATGGCTCAATTGGCATGAAAACTGAAAATTAACCAGACATAAAAAGCACCTGCCAACTAAAAAAATCCACTTATTCCTCTACTTCAGGTTGTTCAGTTTTTTTGAAGCGAGAAGAAACACAATTATATAAACACCTAGCACTGTGTTAAAAATACATCCAGATGGGAAGTACTATATTGTGAGAAAACATTACCTGAAAGACTCATGTCCTGGAGTGTCGATTATCAGCATGCCTGGAATTTTTATGTTCTCTCTGTCAAACTAATATTTCAAAATATTAGCCATCTTTTAAAGATTACACAAGGAAAAAAAAAACAAAACAAAACAAAACAACCTAAGAGCTGGCAGCATTACTGACAGTCTTCACTTCAAAAGTCCAGATACATATTTTAAGAAAAGCCAGTACCCTTCATAAACCAAATTGGTCAAAGCATATTTCAATATAAAAAAATAAAGTTATGCAGCACATTCTCCTAGGTATCAAGTGGCCATAAGTTCAGCTAAAATTTGTAAGACAAGGCAAGCGTACAGAGAAAAAAATAGTTCAGGCTAGTGAGATTTATCATCCTTATTTTGAAGATTTCCTCCTGTCCACTGACTTTACATTTTTAATAAATTGAGTAAAGTCTTGGAAAAAGCCATCACTACCAAGGTTTTTCAGTCAGCAGCTGCTGCAAGCAAAATAGAATGTAGTATCTAAACCAAGCAAAACAGAACAGTTACTATTTCTGTAGCACAATAAAATTCAACACCTGGAAATTGACCCGATTTCAGTGCATATAGTAAAAAAGGCACATTTTTGACAGAAAAATATACTCGGTAAGTTTCAAAAGTCTCAATTTACAATCAAAACAGTGACAAATAAGCAGTTTATGTACATATGTGTACTGTCCAGAACAGAGGAAGCAGTATTTGCGTGATTTTCTGAAGAGGTGGAAATGCATTAACCAAAATCAAATGTATCAACTAAAATGAAAAATGAGAGTGCTTCCCTTTTTGGGAGGCAGGGAGGAGGGTAGGAACTAGAAAACAATCAACCTTGATATTAGAAGAAGAGGGGAAAAGTGTATCTGCCCACGTCAGGAAATTTCACAAGGCCTTAATTAGTTTACACTTCATATTTTTCAAAAAACGGTCTTTAAAGTGCTGTAACTTACATTTTTCACCATCTTGGTTTGCTCATTAATAGCTTCAAGGGGAACATTAGTCGCACCAATCTGCTGAGTGATACCACCAGCTTCACTGTCCTGAACATGAGTATGGCGGAGCTAGAGAGAAAACAAGACCAGAAATACTTATACGTAAGAGACTAAAGTCACCTCTGAGTACACTTCAATTCCTTCTATTTTCAACCAAAAAAACACACCTGCATAAACAAGAAGCACAGGCAGTGCCCCCACATTCCACATCTTACCTTATCTAAAATTTTGGTCTTGCCTGTGTCTACGTGCCCCAGGACACAGATAACTGGTGCTCTGAGCTTTTCAGTGTTCATATTTTTGCTGTTTTCAGCTCGTCGCTTCTACATAAAAAGACACATAAAAATTTGTAAGTATAAACCAAAAACCACAGCTCACCTCTTGATTATATACATAAAACAGAGTTATCTGTGGGACTTGAACCTTCAAGGCAGCTCAAGGTCTGTCATTCCTCTTCTGGCAAATCAAAAATTTACAACTAACAGTTAAATTTGGTTGGTTTAGGTTATGAAAGTAGTAGGCTAATTTATTACATCCACTAAATGTTGCTTTGTTGATAGTGCATTCTGGAGCAGCATCTTGGGTAAGGAAACTGAGCAGATCAGCAGCCACAAAAATGTCAAACAGTTTAGAAATACATCTTTTAAAACTCTGAAATATCTATCTGTAAAGGATAAAAGCCTCTTTCTCCAGGAGGGAGAGAGGTGGAGGAGAACAACACTTAAGTGCACGTTCTTTGTGATCAAGTTGTCTAAAACCAAATACTTCATCTTCAGGCAAAAAGAGGTATTTTTTCTTAATTAACCCAACTTCTGGACCTGGTTAAGTATTAGTTATGACACAGCCATCATTTCAACAAATATGGTTAAAAGGCTTTTCAATGAACTGAAGACTAAGTTGTTTCTCACACAACACAAGAGCCCAGTTGTTCAAATAAAGCTGTATCTTAATACCTCGATTCTCCGTTTAGCTTTGTCATAAGCACGCTCTTCCTTAGTGCGGTCATCATCAGAGTCGTACTCAGAATCAGAGCTAATTTCCTTGCTGGGCTTTTTTTCCATAGATTGTTTTCCAATAGCCTGGGAGTCTGCCTCTCTCTCATCTGAAGTCTTTTCATCCTCATCTTCACTCCCTTCGCTATCTTCAAATTCTTCACTCTCTTCTTCCTCTTCCTCCTCATCATCTTCCTCCTCCTCTTCCTCATCCACTTCATTTTGTTCTTTGACTTCAATGTGGACAGGTTTGCTCTCTGTCAAAAAAAACCCACACAAACAAAATATAAAATTCTGTATTAAATTCACACTTGTTGGGGAGAGGACAACAAAAAAAAAAATCAGAGAGACTACTATAGAAGAGTGAGGACAGAGTAGGTTCCATTCAAGAAGTGATAGTCAAGATCATTTTTCAACTTTCAATATAAAAAAGTATCTCACATTCAGAACTGCTGACTTGTGTTTAGCATCTGTGCAAGCAGAGTGAGTTTGCGCTGGGGGTAGTAATTACATTATCAGCACACTTACACATGACATCATTTGCAAGTATTCAGATGAAGTGACATTCTTTAAAGTTGTGTGCACTTCATAAAGGAATGAATGCACTAACACCTTTAAGCAGAAAGCCAAAATACTCCAAATTCAACAAAATATGGATTCTGTGTATGACTGATCAGGAATGCACATTTAAGCAGAAGTAACAATAAGAACAAACGGTCTCTTCTGTGTCTGACAAAAAAAAAAAAATCTCATCTGAAGGTTTTCCTAGACTGTTCAGAGTAGATTAATATTTTTCAGAGGAATTCTTCAGCAAACAAACTTCCCATTTATCATACTTGCGAAATTGTAAGAGACAAGCTAATGAACACTTTAAAGCCATGCATTCTATTTCTTACAGAGCTGCTATGAGTTCCACTGCTCTTTAGTTATGTTTCCTTGCTACACTGGAAGTCCATCAGCTTAGTAAAACACTAAATCTAATTCCCGGGAAGGCTTTTTTTCTGGATCACATTGGCAGATCCTTCAAATACAAGCAGCAAGAAATGGGATGTGACATTCTCCCTGGGACAGCAGCAACAGACTAAAACAGTCTTTCAAGAAGGTGAGCAGCCCTTAGTCCTCAAAGCAGAGCAGTCCAGCACCACAGGAACACACACTTGTGCTGAAATAAAATCCATACTGCTGTAGATATATGTATATAAAGTACAGGAAATATAGGGCTGAGCAAGTCAAAAATTACTTGATGAATACTCTTTGATCCTAAACAAAGACACGCCATGGAAGCACTAAGAACAGTAATCAACTCCCATTCAGGAGGCCTCGCACCAGGACAGCTTTCTCCACCACCAGAAGAAAACACTGGAGAAGTTATCCCTGCCTTCTCACACAGGTCTAACTTCCCCATAAACATTGCTGTTGGCTGCAGACAGAATATGGGCTTTGGCATACATGTGCAGGAACATGAATGTTCTGGCAATTCTTTCCTTTCTTCTGCAGCTGCCTCTCAAAGAAGCGGATGAGAGAATGTACCTAGAACTTACGACAATGCATGCACACTAACCTTCATAACTTCTTAGTCCCCCACTTCTCTGAGAGCTTGTTTCAAAGGTACTCTCCTGGATGCTGCCAGATTTGTGTAGTAAAACCGTTCTGGCTTTGGAATGGTCACTAGAGAAACACAGTACCAGGTAAAAGGTTTCCCTAAACTCCCAGAGGTGGCTTAAGCACATATTAAGAGGATTTTTACTCCCATCAGAATGAACAAAAAATTCTAACTGATTTATTTTAAGTGATAACTGCACATGAGTACTTCCAGTACAGCAGTATTTGAGCAGTTTCTGAAAGCTCTGCCTTTGAGAAGAAGATCTTATGTCTATTTATCATCACACATGCCTCATGATTTATCTAATGGGGCAGGGAGAGACTCTAAATACCACATTGTTTTCTACAGAAACAAAAATCTCAGCCCAAAGAAATCTCTTCCTCAGAAAAAGCATCTATTTGATATTTACATGCCCACCTTTCTCTCCATCTTCATCACTAACCATAGCTTCCCAGTCATCCAAACCTGCATCTTCCATTTCTTCTTCTTCCTCCTTTTCTTCAGAAACTAGGAAATCCAACATTAAAGGAAAAGAAAGAAACAACTCAGCAACATATATTTTTAGATGCCCCTTCTTTTGACATATTGACAACTGCAACTGTTATCATTAATTCTACTACATTATCTCCATGTTCCCTAAGCACAAAATGCTGCATACTTAATCTTCAGTTCTCCCCACAAAATCTTATAGTGCTAGCATCTTTGCCTAGCAAAACATAATTTTGGAAGACATAGCGAAACTACTTATCTAGTTCCTGTCTTCATATCATGCAAGTGCCTGCATAACACATGCCACACAAACCTCTACCACAACCACGTTCCTTGAAAGGAGCTGCCCAATTAACAGTTAGCCATGTGTAGCAAAGTGACAGAGAAACAAGAAAACAACTTGGGTTATGGTATTCATTTTAATTAGTGGGGAAAATAACAACTTGTCTATAAAAAGTGCTATTTTAGGACTCCAGATGCCTTAACATAATTATACCAAGAATTCCCGCAGCATTAAATATATTAATTCCAGCAAGAATTCAGTCAGATATATGAAGAAACTGCAGCTCTTAATAACAAACAAATGGAAGAAATGCAAATTTTTAACCCTTTCCAAAAGAGGCATTAAACAATATGTATGTTGCAGCACATGGAATGTCATGAAATTTTAGCTATTTGAAATGAAGCTTAAGTTCCAGACTGCTAGAATATTAACTGGGAAATAATGTTCTGCCCGTGAGCCCTTCTCTGTTATGGTAATGAAATTGCACCTTCAGGAGATAAGTCAAGTACACATTCAGCTTTATTTTCAAAAAGCTGGAAATTTTTTCAGTATTTGCCCGACTTAAGAATGAGGGTAAAAATGGAAACAGCCTCCTTGCTGAGGAAGCAGTCTACTACAATATGATTTTGCCAAAAACAAATACTGTGTGCAGGAAAAAAATGAAGGCAACAACCACTTGCTAGGCTGATACTCAGCTTCACAAGCTAACCCATATCCACTCCATTCAGCACTTCTGAAAGCAAAACATTTGAAGTCAAGAATAAAATCACTGTGAATACTGCAGTATTAATATCAGAAGCAGCATATTTCCTCCCTCCCTCCACCTAACTGCTGACAAAACAGCCTTTTAGAAAGAAAATGAAAAGTCAAGGGAGCTAATCATAAGGCACCTAATGTGCTTATTTGAGATAGCTGCCTAAGTCAATTGAACACTGGCATTCACCCAGAATAAGGGACTTTTACACTCTCATTTTGAAGCTTCATGCCTTTTTATTCCATAAAATTACATCAATTCCTCCAATAGGAAAAGAAAAACAGCAACTACTTCAAGAAAGGATGGCTGCTCAACCCCCATCCAACAAGTTATGATACCTACCACATAGTAGTGTCACACAGTCCTACATGTTTTAAGTTTATTTGCGTTACTACTAACCTGGCTCTGCTGGAAGAGGACTCTCTTCTTTTACTGGTGGTTCCAGTTCTACAGCATCTTCAGCTGTGGAAGTTACCTCCACACTTTCTGAAATTGCAAGAAAGCAAATTGGTTGCTACACACTTTCAAAGTGCAAGCCAACTTACTTAGACATACAGCTTCACACTGAAGTTGTGCTGTTACAAGCAAACAAAATCTGAATGTATGTAATACCAAAGTAACTGAACTTATGTTCATGTGGCTTATTTGAAAAACATTTGGCTTTCTAAGCAGTTAAATAGATTTATGTGATAGGTCAGGTATTGGCTAAGAGGGCTACCATCACTTTTGACCATTAAAAAAACCTCAGTCTCTCAAATAGAAAATGAAGTAATAGTAATGAACTACTCACTCTTGCTCTACTGTCCCATATTAGGAAAAAAAAAAAAAATCACCAATACAATTCAGATAAGCACCATTCTCAATTCTTTACCCACACTCCTTAAATGGTAAGTAGGCATATAACTCATGTCGAATGTAAAAAAACCCAGCTAAATAACAGAACAGCCTGATGCAAGGAGGTTTTGGGGTTTTTTAATCTAAGGAATAGACTTGAGAAGAGCCACAATAACACTCCCACAGGAAAGCCACAAAGCACAAAAGTAGAAAATTCAGACACATTCAATTTATGTCTAACGTGCAGTAAATTCTGTTTTCAAAAATGCAAGCTCACTGAACTACTCACACCCTAGAGACTGAAAACTGTTTTTATATACAAAAAACAAATAAATAAACAAATTATCTCCAACTTAAAAGTACTAAAACTAAAATCAATCCCCTTTCATCCTGGGACATCAACTTAGGCTTAATTACAAGTCGTTATTACTTACACTATATTGTATTTAACCTACATATGCACACAAAGCATTCAACCTCACATTCGTAAAAGGCCTTTACATTCTGTACATCCCCAACATTTAGAAATTCTAAAGAAAATACCCAGGTTAGGAAAAAATTAACAGTCAAGTAGATTGTAATACAAAGAACTAAGCGTGCTGCCTTCAAAACAAAGTTGGGATTCTAATGCATCAGCCCTCGCACGTGGGGGCAGGGGTGTCCAAAGAACCTGAGGCACCCTGAAGTGCCATTAATTTGGGATCAGCCAATTCATTCCACAAACACTGCCAGAAATGTGACTAATCTATTATGTATCCCTATATGCAAGTCACACCTTCTTTATTTTCTGAATGCTGCTGCTTCTTCTTCTTTTTGTCTTCATATATTGGCCTCTTCTTTGGCACAGAGTCTTTGGATGGCACTTCAACACCTGCAAAGAAAAAACTGTTAGGAAGAAAATCCAGGTGGTTAACTACTAAACATAAGCTTTGTTTTAAATGAGAATGTGTTTCCCAGAATTGCAGTGTGGAGGAAGGAAGAAAATTGAAATTAGATTCAGTGCATATTTTATCTTTCTAAAAAGTCTGATTTTCAAAAGCTATAAAACCTGAGCAAAGTGTAGTTCTTCAAATATCCAGAACACTCTCAAAAATAAGTTAGATAACTGGAGGGGACGGGGATGACACCCAAACAATCTGATCCTAAGAGTCCAGGTTTGAAGCTATCGCATGAACACACATACTTCAAGTTAAACAAGCATATGTCAGTGTCAAGTCTGCTATGCTAAAGCTCACTTAAAACCAGTCTGCCAGCTTCAGACAATCTGAGGCAATTAAGATGCAGAGCTCTTCTTAAAAGTTTAAGGTTTTTCACTAGATAGTATTTTTCCTTTTGCTCAGTCTTAGGGTTGGTTTATTTTTTGGTTTTTAACATAAGATGTTTTCAGGTATTAAAATAATGCCAGGTTCCATTCATCAGCTTCATCTTCACCTCACCAGAAAGACAGCACTGTAACGTTGGAAGGGATTCAATTAACTTAATTACTGCCACACCTTCTGAAATACTCAAAAACCCTTCAGGTACTGTGTGACTTACTGTATAGGCTTGACAAAAATCCAGTTGTGGCAGCACACAAGTAGAAAGATTCTAATAACTACAGCAATGATAAATGGCCTTTGTGTATGTTTAAGAGATACAAACATTTTACTAGCTACAGAGATTCCCACCAGCAGTGTCAGACAGTGCTCTCTACCATACAAAAAGGATGCTCAGCCCACAGGAATTTGTTTCTTTCCTTAGCCACAAACAAGTTACCAGGAATACATTAGGACATGGGTTTACAATACATTGGATACATTTACTTTATTGCAATGGAAACAGACTATATTTGACAGAAAAGGAGGAAAGCTCCTCTATAACCTTTTCCTGAAGCAAATGTAAAAGAATATACTGCTTATGTGGACTAGCTAACTTGAGACAAAACAATGCACTGGCTTAAGTGAGCACACGAATTAATCCAACAGGATCCAGACCACTGGTCTTAAAAGACCTGTAGCACAGCTTTTCCTGGCCTTTGAACTAAGCAATGGAAAGAAGTGATTTTTACTAAGTTCCACAACATCTTTTAAACTGCAGGTAGAATGTATTAAAAAAGCTGGATATTTAGAGTGTGAGATGAAAATACACAGACATTTAAACCTACTTAAAAAAACAGGGGGGGGAGTGTCTGACACACACTGCCTGCCTTGACAACTCAGCAGCTTTACATGGAATCAACTCAGTATTTGCCCTTCCAGATTCAAATATAAAAAATTCATACCCCTTACCGCTCTGTGTTTGTTTTAAGGGGGGGGGGGGTGTTGTGTGGTGTTTTTTGGGTTTAAATACTATTACTATTTTCAACTTTACTACTTACCCTGAGCTTGGAGTAGTTTAAGAGTAGCCTCCGCTCTGGCTCTGGCTTCTCGTTGAGCTTTTGTTAAAAGTTTTCCCTCCTTCTTCAAACGTTCCTTCCTCTCTTTTTCCTTCTGTTTCTTTCTTTCTTTCCTCTCTTGCTCTAATCGTTCCTAGAAAATGGTTAAAAAAACATGCAGAAATTTTAAGGCATGATTTAGACAAAAGCAGGCCAAGTGTATATTCCATTCATGAGAAACATATTAAGGACTAATCCACCAACTGCACCAGCAAGGGTGGAGGCTAAGATTACCCTCTCCCTTGTTCGATCCTCAGGGTAAGATACACAGTACCTCCTCTTTGCGCTTCGCTTCTAGTTCCTCCAATCGTCTTATGCGTTCTTCCTCCTCTCTTTTTGCCCTTTCCTCCTCCTCTTTCATTTTAGCCAAGGCTTCTTGCATAGCTTTAACTGTGGCTTTACTGGGACCCTTCTTCTTCTCTTTCTCTTTTTCTTCTTTCTCACCTTTCTTTTTTTTCTTGTCTTTTTTCTTTTTGTCCCCGTCATTGTCATCAGCTACAGGAAAAAGAGACATACATTCAAAGACCCCAGAAATTTTAAAGATACTCTAAATACAATTAATGTTTCAAATTTGATAAATAACACCAAATGAGGAACATTATGACTGGCTACTACATAAGCACTTCATAATGAAAAAACAAAACTTTGTAACTTAAAGTCAGCCCCTAAAGTCTTGAAGTAACTGAGAAGTGGAAAAGTATGTTTGCAATACAGAACTGTAAGCATATATTGTCATGAGAATTCACCATCTAGCTTTTGTTCTCCCATGTACTTGAACAAACTACAGGCCAGAATAAACAGTCACACGAGAGCCAACACAGAGGAGCAGACAAGGCTACCAAATGTCTAGTGTCCCCGATTCAGAATAAGCAACAAATCATCTCCACTGCCTGCTAACTCTTTGGCCTTCTTCTAAAGGCTACAGTGATCAAAATACAGATATAGAAACCATTCTACAAACCCTCTGTTCCTGCAGGCATCTCTCCTTTTTCCCCAGTGCCAGGGGTTGCCATGACTTCAGGAAAAGCCTTCTCTTCAGCTTTTTTTGGCGCTTCCTTCGTCTTTCCTGGTTCTTTACCACCTTCTAATTCTTCCTTCTCTTTCTGCTTCCTCAGTTTAGCTTTTTCTTCCTCACGTTTTTTCCTTTCACGTTCCTTTTTTTCTGCCTTCTTCTGTGCCACTGTTTTTACTTTGAATGAAGGTTCTTCTTCATCATCCCCACTTTCAGCAGCAGGAGTAGACTTTGGTTTTTGGGTTTTCTTTTGTCCTTTTCTAGACTGGGAGATCTCATCTGATTCATCACCACTCTCACCTGTAGACACTGCCCCTCCACGCTCTTTGCTTTTCTTAACGTTAGTTTCATCTTCTTCTGACAGATCATGCTTTTTATTTGACTTCTGCGTTTTCCCTTTGCTTTTCTTAATCTGTGTCTCATGATCATCATCATCACTGCCAGAAAGCATGTCTTGTTTTGCTTTCTGAGTTTTTTTAGATTTTTTATCTTTATCTTCCACTTCCTCACTGTCATAGTCATTTTCCAGATTGGCTTTTTTACTCTTTCCTTTCCTTTTTTTATCTTGTTTTGATAAGCTTTCTTCATTGTCATTTTCAACCTGATAATTAAACAATTCAATAATTAGCCATGAAAAATTACTTGCTATTGTGAGCTAAGCAGCAGCACTGAGATGTCAAGAAAAACTCCTCTTACTGAAGACAAAGTTTGAAACCACTAACTATTCCTGCTGAGTGTACTACACCTCAGCCTACAATTAAAATTCATTCTGATTGACTTTGAATAATTATCAGTATGAAGACATGGCTTCTGGTAAAATCTCTCACAATTGACTTTATTATGAAAATATTAGCATGTATAATTAAAAATACATGCTATCTGCATGTTTCACATAGGATCTCCAACTACACTGCAACACTAAACTTTTCTGGGATACAGGTGTCTTGTATTTCAACTCTTTGCTATTAAATAGCCCACCTCCCTCTCAGTATTCACCTTTCCTGTAGCAGGTTCCCTGTCAACTTTCCCTCCTTGCGCCTCTATTGACAGTTCTTCCAGCTCCTTCAGGATATCATCTTCACTAAAATAAGAAAGAAGTCATGGTACTTAAGTAACTGTGGTTTTTAATAACGGAATAAAATAAGACAGATCATAGAAAAAAAATAAACTTACTCAAAATCCTGTTTCTTCTTCTCTTTTTTCTTTTTGCCTTTGGATTTCTGAGGATCTTGCTCCTTTGCAGCTCCTGCACCTTCTATCTCAGCAGCAAGGGCATCAATATCAATATCATCTTTTGTACTAAAATGCAAAAGGAAAGCAGAGTTATCAAGAGTTCAACTGTTAAGCATACATAAGAAGCAGCCATTGGCATAAACCAAACAAAAGCTTCAAAATGTAAAATCAATCACAAGACATAAGCAATGCAGCGGCAAGCCCCACATTTAACAAACCATTATGCACTATTGCCTTATTCCACCCAATAGTATGAAAATGAAAAGCCTTCACACGTCATCTGCTTGAAAGGAGGTGGAACAGTAAAACATGTTCAGTTGTTGCAACACTCACTTTAAAAGTTCAGATGTGAGATTTGACAAAACTTCTTGGAAGAAGTTTGTTCCTCCAAAAGATAAATTGTTCAGTCCTTCAACTCACAGTAGGTGCCATTGATAGAAAAACAGCCCCCATAATGAAAATGTAAAGGTGAAGCATAGACAGAAGAAGTCTTGCAATTTAGTAAACAGAAATTCTATTAAGTGGTACTTGCCTGCTCCTTTAAACACCCTTCAGCAAACAAAAAAAAAAACTACTGTATTTTTTTTTTGGCAAATAAGTGAAAATTCTTCACTGCTTCCAACTTACGATAACAGTTGCATATGCTTTGCTATCAGACTGAAAAGTTTTACTCTTAACTTTCAAGAAAAGAGCTCACTCAGAGAAACGCAGTTCAGCCCCAAGTCAGACTCTAAAGCAGATCATAAAAAATACCAATGCAGTTGGCAAGCAATTTGCCTTAGTATTACCTCTCCCAGGCCTAAAGAAAGCCAAAAGAAGTTTCATGAGGCATCTGAAATATGCATCCTTCCACATTAGGTCTCATATCACGTTTCCCTTTCAAAAGCATTTTCTTTTCTTGCTATAAATAATCTTTAATCTGAACTAAGCAGAAGTGGCTTTTTTCCTGTCCTGTATCAATAGTTGTAATTCAGATGCACCTTCTTCTTGACTCATACCACAAGAATTGAGCAAACACCAAGTCTAGTGTCCAGAGGTTTTTCCAACTGTTGTTCTTACAATTGGAAGAAAAGAGGTTTACCTGCTTCACACTTAGAACTCCAGTACTCAGAACAAAACTGGTCTATTAAAGTAGCAAACATTAGGATGCTACTTTTATCAGCCCGCAGTTTCAAAAACCATTTAATCTATATGCTATTAACATATCATCTAACTCCTTCTTAGATGCATGGGCAGAAAACTCTTTTTTTCTTCACAATTTCGGTGTCTCAATTACCACCCACTTAGGACAAATCATCCAGACACAGGTTGACCCACTAAACACCTGAATCTATATCCAGAAAATAAGGGAAATAAATTTCTTCTAGATTCAAGACCTCCAAGATATCAGCAAATTCTAAACTACTAGAGCCTCAGCCTTGCATATTTACAAACCCAGAAGTTGAATACTAATACAGAAAATCAAGTGCTTAATTACTCCTTTTACTCCTTTAAAGATTCTGAAATTCAGTAAGTTGCAGTTCCCTTTGCAAAAGGAGAGGTCTGAGAGAATCATTTTACAAGTTTAAGTGAATGTTGACATTCATAAACCCATTTTATCCCAAATACTGGGCACGAGCAAGTCACCAAACTGTCTGTATGTGACAACAGCACAAGTAAGCAACAATGCACTTCCTTCTTTTAAAGGCCAAGACTGATTATTTGTATTCTCAAGATCTCAAAATTTTCTTCTATATAGACTGAACAAGCCAAGAAGCAGCACAATGAAGCACCTCACTTTCCAGCATCTTTATTACCAGAGATACTTACTTTTAGTCAAGAGAACAAAAAACACGCCTTGAATACATCTAGTAGTACTTCTTATGTTCTCACATGACAAGTAATACATTCCTCAAAGAAATGTAACTCAAATAGTTAATGCAAGATTTCTAAACCAATCCCTACCTCTCTCAAGAGGAAAGAATACACTTTTTGGACATTTCCACCTTAAGAAGAGCTGACTTGACGTTTCAGCAATTTAAAAGCTGTATTCATAAGCAGTTTAAGTGTCTGTGCACCAGGGGTACGTAGGCAGCCAAAATAAAAATGCCAACAGCCATCTCTACATCTAGAGTTAAAGCCCTAATATCAGGCTAACGATATTACATCTAGGCCTACACATAGGCCCTCACATTTCTTTATGCATTAAGTGCAGCATCAGTTTTAAGCACACTTGCTTACCTCCTCCTACTCTAGGAGCTAATGGAGGAGGCTGAGTCAAATCAAAGTTTGCAATAGTTTGAAGAGACCAAAATACAAGCTCTACTACTGCTTCTTCCATGACTGTACTGCTTCCACTACTACAGGATGTTAACCATATGGTTGTACAGATATTAAAGAGCCAAGCCTTTAAACATCTTATAATTCACATGGACATTCTCAAGGCTGACTTTTCACATTGCAACTTTGCAGAAAGTTATGTCCAAACATAAACCACAATTTTTATGCTACTAGCAAAGAAGATGCTTATGGTACCTTATGTCTTCCAGGATACAGACTTTAGTGGGGTGGGGGGTTATTTGTTTTTAAATCAATTCACTTCAACTGAACCTTGAAGAAGAAAACTTCTTTGGGTAAAAAAAAATCTCTCAAATCAAACACTGAAAAAGCTAATTCACAAACATTAAGCTTTAGCACCCACCAGCAAGAACAGTTTAGGAATAATAATGAAAACTTTTCAGCTGTCACAATAGTGGCATAAATAATAGTACGAGAGCCTTTCCAACCTTGGCTTCCACTGCTTAACAGTCAATGGTTTCCAGGAAATCTATCCTTTCCACTACATTTCCATTTACTAAGAAGTGTGACAGCAAGCTTCAAACATGTGAGCCTCGATGAAGTGAAAAGTAAAATTAAGGCTGCATGCACTTAGATATACAGTTATAATTCTTCTTAAGAACTGTAAAGCGAGAATATCATTGGAAAGCTAAGGAATTCAAATATTGCCTTCCATTACTAAGAGTGTATTCCCATACTGACCTTGAATTTCCTTACCTTTTAAAACTAATAATATGCCACTAAGATTTCACAATAAAAGAACGTTGAAAAGATTGAGACGGCACCCTCCCTCTCTTCCTGGGTAATTCTTATGTCGTAAGGCACCCACTGCTCTTAGATACATAACAGGAGAGCTTCTTTCCTATTGGCACTGGAAGATACACCTAGGAACTTTTTCAAGTAGTCCCCAAACATGTTTCATAAACCCAAATGCTCTTGCAGGAACCTCCTCCAAGTCCTCCAAAAGGTCCCCACACAGCCTCTCTTGCCCCTCCACTCAGCCTTTACACGGCTCTCAACCCCAACCCTAAGAGTGCCCAATACAGGAACCTGAAAACACCATTCAATTCTGACCTCGAATTGCTTTCATATGAAGACTTCATAGCCTCACTACCTTAGGCAATTCAAGCTCAGAATGGTTTGGACTCCAAGGAGGCTTGCTTTTGATCAGGTTCACACACCAAGGTAACCCCATGTTTCCCCAGCACATGAGGTTCAAGGAGGTCTGGAAAGTGTGAAACCAAAAGCAAAGCGCTACTTCACTGCTAAGGAGTTGTTTTCCCTGAATTACTTTCATCTCTTTCAGAAGTGAAGCCTAAGCCACCTTTCTTACTTTTGATTCCCTCCTCTGTTTTTGCTTCCAGATATGAAAAGAGTTCTGATATTGCTAAAACAGCATTTCAGTGCAATAAATTACAGCAAGAGTTAGGTGTGTGTACCTCACTCAAGCCTAAACAAGCAATCTGCAGAACATTAAATGGCTGCAGACATTCCTCCATGGAGGTCTGTACCCAATACCGGACAAAGCTATGCAGAGGGAAATGATCCAGCAGCCAGGCTAATAAAAGGAGATAGCAGTAATCAATAACAAGTATGCAGAGATCACCACATTTCAGATACCAAAACTACTCTTCTCTAGAATTACATCACTGATAAAAAAAAAAAAAAAAAGCGCTCTACATTTCCCCTACATAATTTCACTGCCTTTTGCCATTTAGGTTACAGCAATATAAGACTACAAAATATTCCAAAGCATTTTTAAAGTAGCACATAGACACATTCACCTACGTTATACTGAAAAATATTGACCTTACTGCCCTGGAAATGACATTAAGAAATCATATGTTGCCCAAAAGGGTTCCAGTATAAGTTGTCTGCACAGATTACTGAAAACCTGCATTACATAGGGAAAACCACTCACAAATAGATTTCTGAATAGTCACTGAGTCACTAGTTAAATGCTGTGCTAGCATACCATTCTGTATCAAACCAGGATCAAATATACCCAGATCATCCCAAGTAACTGTTTGGAGATTTTTTTTTTTTTAAGACAGGCATAGGCAACAATGGAAATTCAACACCTCATGCAATCAAAGCATCAAATCCAGCCAGTATCAAGCGTGACACTCCAAAACACAACCTAAGATACTTGTATTACATGTTAAGCAAAGCCAGTGGCAAATAAAGCTACAACCCCAAATCCTGCCTATAAGAGAAAATACGAAACATTTTCAGTGTGAAGATTAAAGCAGAGTTAGAAAACAAACGAAGAGCTGTCACCTACCGCTGCTCAGTTAGATGTGAAAAGACAGCCAGTAGCAATCCTACTTATAAGAGCCCACACAGTTGCAAGCTATTGAGTCAGAAAAGTGGAAAAACCTCGTGACTGATAGATGTACAGTCTGTATAAAAAACATCAGTGTTTCTCTTGCTAGTACAGCAAGGAAACAATATTTAAGACTAGAATCCCAGTAAAAAAGCCAAAAACCTCAGCTATTATATAGCATCTGCTAAGAAAATACTAAAATAGTATATAATAGTATATAGCTTAAGGTGTTGGTCTTTTTTTTTTTTTTTTTTTTTTGTTGGGCGGGGAGCGGGGAGGGTGTTTAAAACATGAGAAAAGCACAGCTTTGGTGCAAGCTCTTTTTCTGATGCAATAGGCTGCAACAGCCAGAACCTAGAAATTCCCTGTGGAACCCATCATGAGGCCCGAGTTCACCCTTTCAACCTAACACAAGCTTTGATTT